CCCCCCCCCCCCCAAAAAAAAGTTTTGGTAAATGCAAAGAGAATGCGCCAAGACGTATCATCTTGGCTGCTAAAATTAGAAATAAAACGCCAAATTTTAAAATTTAAAAAAAAAACTATATCACTAAATCTATCCCTAAAACCTAAGGAGTGAATCCAAAACAAAACTTGACAAAAACATGTAAATGACGTCATGGCACATTCTCTTTGCATTGACCTAATTTTTTTCCTGTCTTTCGATAATTCCCGATAACTGCGCTAAATGAGATTCTTTAAAAAAAACAAAAAAACAACAACAACAACATTTTAGATCTACAAGTGCGTACGGTGGGCCCAATATTTTCTTTTGTTCTTTCTGAAATAGTTGGGGAATACGTCTGCGGTGTAAAAGCTGGTGGGTCATTCAAATATTTGTATAGTTCAGGGGCGTGGAAAAGGTGACTATGTGAGCTATTTGGGGAGGGAGAGGGGATAGCCCTAATTGGGATTCTTATAAAGTGCGTTACTCGTATGCATTTTTTGTCAAATGTTTCAGCCTCCCCCCCTCCCCACCCCCATTACCCCTTTTTTACATTTTGTAAAGGATTTATACGAAAAACGTTGTATTAAGGGGTTGTTTAATTACTGAATTATGCACAATAGAAATAGATCAAATCAGAACAAAAAAATATATATTGCCACAGATACGTCAAGCAAGGGTAAATATCAATAACATAATGGCACCCCAGCCCTACCCAAACCCACCCCCCGAACCAAACAAAAATAAAGTAGAATTCAGCCAACCCGAGCCGGCGCATGGGCCCACCAAGCCGTGTGAGGGGGGGGGCAGTGGGCCTTGGCTATTTAAAAGGGGGCCCCCAAAATTGTGATGTGGTGAAAACAATTAACGATCAACTTTGAATGCAAGGGGTACAAACTCGAAAAGTGACTTGGAGTGTACACGTCACTCGGAGGATCCGTAGCACTCTCTTTAAGCCTCTGGGGAAAAGGCCATTTTAAAAATGAACATTTACTTTACGGGAAAGCCCATGTTTGTTCATGCGTGCCCATGTGTGCCCATGCGTGCCCATAGTCACGCTATACTGTATAATTAGGTTATACAAGTACCGGATATTTATAGACGGCATGAAATCCTGCCTCAACACAACCGAACATAAAGAAAACAACACAAAAATGCATGCAGTGATATTTTACTTTTATTTACTGGCCACTGTTGGACCTCGTCACAGGAGAAGAATTCAACTTATTTGGGAAAGCTAACAGCTATTTATAGAACAGTATATGTATACACACACACATATAAACACAACGCTGCGTTAAAATAATAAGGATCCAAGTTATAGTGTAAAATTAATATTATTGCATCTAATAATCACATAATGCTTTATTCGATAACACAGAAGTAAAAGAATACACTAGTCTAGTGGTTATTATACGGAATTTTCTATGCGACCCCAAACTATCTTTTTAGCTACCATGCTACAGATTTAGCCGAAAAATAAGGGTCAAGCAGACCCACCGACCCTTCCAGACTCACTAGCTAGACCCACCCAACCCCGCCAGACTCACTAGCTAGACCCCCCGACCCCTCCAGACTCACTAGCTAGACCCCCCGACCCCTCCAGACTCACTAGCTAGACCCACCCGACCCCACCAGGCCCACTAGGTAGACCCACCCGACCACTCCAGACTCACTAGCTAGACTCCCCCCCGGCCCCTCCAGACTCACTAGCTAGACCCACCCGACCCCGCCAGGCCCACTAGCTAGACCATCCCGACCCTCCAGACTCACAATCATACGTGCCAAGCCGTCTGACGTGTCACCACCCGGCGTGGTAGACAGGCGCCCGGCGTGGTAGACAGGCACCCGGCGTGGTAGACAGGCGCCCGGCGTGGTAGACAGGCGCCCGGCGTGGTAGACAGGCACCCGGCGTGGTAGACAGGCGCCAGTCGNACTCACAATCATACGTGCCAAGCCGTCTGACGTGTCACCACCCGGCGTGGTAGACAGGCGCCCGGCGTGGTAGACAGGCACCCGGCGTGGGAGACAGGTGCTAGTGGGATTGTAAGAGCCGACCGCAGACACTAATGGCAGTAAAGTGTCAAAATAAAAATAAAATTCTCATTAACAATTTTTATCGTTTTAAAATTATTTTTCCCAGGAAGTTAGCCTCGGTGGTTTTGGGGGGGGGGGGTTGTGATACCCTGGCACCTGGGATGACGGGTCTAGTTAGAAGTTAATAAACAGTAGGTCATCATTCTAAGTGTTAAAAACAATTTTTAAATAATCAATTTCTAGTTTAAGATAAAGACTACGTAAATCAAGGTATATTTCTTGCACCAACGATCCCAATTTCTTGCAACCAACACTCCCATTTCTTGTACCAAATACTCTCCTTTCTTGTACCCAAACCCCAATTTCTTGTAACCTATACTCTCATTTCTTGTACACAATATCCACATTTCTTGTACCCATACCCCAATTTCTTGTACCCATACCCCAATTTCTTGTACCCATACCCCAATTTCTTGTACCCATACCCCAATTTCTTGTACCCATACCCCAATTTCTTGCACCCAACACCTTTATTTCTCTCACCCGGCATCCCCATTTCTTGCGCCCTATTGAGTAAAACTATGATATAAACAGAGCTCAGTTTTACAATAATTTAATTTCTAATCAACAAGTTAACAGTTCCCGTATCCAACAGTTCCCGTATCGAACAGTTCCCGTATCCGACAGTTCCCGTATCCAACAGTTACCGTATCCGACAGTTCCCGTATCCAACAGTTCCCGTATCCAACAGTTCCCGTGTCCAACAGTTCCCGTATCCAACAGTTCCCGTGTCCAACAGTTCCCGTGTCCAACAGTTCCCGTATCTAACAGTTCCCGTATCCAACAGGACGCTTTTTACTAGACCAATTAATGCTGATGTTAAATCACACACATACCTCTGTGTTGTTGTTGAGTGATGGACGAGCACATGGTATTCGTAAGCGACGCCTGACGTCGATCCCGACCAATAAATCATATTCGTATCGGCTATCTATGCATGTTCAACAATGACTGAACCAAAGCGTCTCTTTGAATGACCCTCGATTCCAGTACCAAAAAAAAAAAAAAAAACACATTCATTTCTTTTCCAAGAAATCCAAGCATCGTTTTCTTAGAATTATTCTCAGCCATCACGACTTAACTGACTTGCCAAATTATACACATATTATGTTGTTGTTTTTATATTTCCCCCGTAGCAGGTCTTTCTATAGATGGTTAGAAACATATCATTAGCGGGATTGTCGGTAAAGACCAGAGAAAATGACTGTAACATAATTCTGTTTCATTGGTTACTTTTTGTCAATGCATAATTTACGTTTTATTTAATTACATTAAAAAAATTAATATAACAGCAATCAGCATCTATCCCCCCCCTCCCGACATGCCCCCCCTCGCAAAAACATTATGAAAAACGATGCATGAGTATTTAACCCATTTCCCACAATGCTTCAAAACTTCAGGAAATAATACTACAATTCAAATATTAAGAATGCCTGTCATATAATTTGCAGCGATTTCTACATTCAGAATTTAATGACAGAACTCGCTACAAAAAACACAGAAAAAAATGTATTTACATGAAAATATATTTAATTCAGTTGTTCTAGTAGATAACAGAAAGACTAACTCCAATCAGGGTTTCTTTCAGCTATATCTCGGGGGGGGGGGGGGCAGTGCCCCCGGAGCAAAAATATTGCCAACAACAATAAAAAACACAGAAAAAAATGTTTTTAAATGAAAATTTTTTTAATTCAGTTTTTTTAGTAGATAAAAGAAAGACTAACCCCAATCAGGGTTTCTTTAAGGTATATTCCGGGGGGGGGGGGGCAGTGCCCCCGGAGCAAAAATATGTCCAACAATAAATCAACTGGAACTGCTGGCACTGCCCCCCCCCCCTGAAAAATCTGAAGTGCCCCTCCGGGGGAAAATTTCTGAAAGAAACACTGACTCCAATGATTATGTCGATACAAAAAGTATTTGGGGTTTACTAAATTATTTGTCTCCGGCTGTGTTAACATGAAGAGTTAAACGTCCACTCTACCCTGTCTCCTACTTAGAGCCCTTGTCTTTTTAGTCCTACCAGGACTACAGGACTAAAGGTGATTTGATTTCTCACCACCCTAAAACATCGAGATGATTCCTGATAAAATTGTCAATTTTTTTTCTTCACAATACTGTTTAAGACAATGAGTTTATCACATTGTAGTTTTTGTAATGTTGTCTCTGTGCTGGTGTTTATTTGATGGTGTTCAAACTATCGTTTGCAATCATCTTGATTTCTAACATGACATACATGACATGTTATTATTATTAATGTTTTTTTTTTTTGTAATGGCAGGATCATGGCGTTTAATCAGTTTATAAACATTTTAAAAAATACCGTGTTAATGATTAACGATACATGAACGCCTCACGGGAACGCCTGACATGAACACCTCACGGGGACGCCTCACATGAAAAAGTGTTAAATGTAAAACAAATTGCCGACCTGTTGCACAAAAGCCTCACATTCCCCCACATCTCTAAACATGATCCGATATTCGACTTAAGCTCAGCCATAAATTCCTTTCTTGAGATACATGTTTGTCGTAGGCAAAGGCGACTTCTCGGTATAATTCTTCAGCAAATCGTCCAAACATTGAAAAGTCACAATCTTATCAAGCGTTATGTCTGAGCCGTGCGAGAAGATTTTATACGCTCGGCACTGCCCCAAGTCGTCCAGCACCACCAGGACCTTCTGTTCATCTTTTCTCGATTTCCTTATCAAATACGTTCCGGGCTCCTTCTTGGCCTTGAGGAGACCGTTGATCTTCTCCAGGTCGGGGTGCTCGTCGTGGACCGTGCACAGCCCCTCCAGAGTAGGACGAATGAAGTCGGACGGCATCTCGTACGTTTCCTCCAGGTTGTCCACGTTGACGTAATCAGGTCGAGCGTCATCCATGACGTCACTGTAACGCGGAGGGGGCAGCTGAGGTATGGACTCAGACATCGACCTGGACATGGGGAGCTTTACCCGTGGCTCTGTCCCCACGATCCCAATGTCCTTACTCTGCCCCGGAATCTTCGGGTCGAGTTTACTGGCATTTGACGATTTGCACACGGTGGCTCCATCGTCGTAGGTGGTGCCCTTGGGCAAAGTAAACGACTTGGACTTACCGGGGAGGAAACTGTGGCTCCCTCCACTACCGGAATCAGACGAACTGCTCTCTTCTTCCGAATCGCTGTGGAGTTCGGTGATGGCCCCCTCGGGTAAGTGCACGGCCTCCTCGATGGTGTTGTATTCCTCCCCGTCGTCCTGCGAGAAGGAGATCGATCTGAACTTGTCCAAGATCGTCGAATCGGGGCCGTCCGCGTTGTTGACGGCGCACAGCTGACGCTTGATGGCCCGCATCCACTCTTTCCTCTCCTGCTCGCTGAGGCAGGCGAAGGTCTTGACCTTGTTTTCGTGGTTGCTGGCGGGGCAGATTGAAAAGCACCATTCCTGTCCCTTGGATTCGGCTCTCTTGACGCGGTTGTATCCCTTGAGAGAGAACGACGAATTTGGGACCTTGGAGTTCTCGTCCTTGTACACGTTGATGGAGTCGTTGAGCAGAATCAGAAACCGCCGAGGCCATTTCCCGAAGCTCAGCTTTTCCTTTTTCTTACGCAAGAGTCCGTATTTGATGGTAGCATTCGGCAGCTTGATGTAGTCTTGGGCCGATAGCTTACCGCTGATTACTGTCGTCATGGTGACGAGATGTCTTGACTACGGATTGCCCTGAAGCGCACGGGGTGTTTCAATGCTCTGGTTCAAAGTTCGTGCGAGTCATCTGTTTGAAAAGAAGATTTGATATTATTTGCAATGAAATTATGGGAAAACGTTTGAAAAACTGTCATAAATCATTCCCTTTCATGAAGTTTATTTTGTTTCGTTTTTTTAGAAACGATTGTGGGTTTTACTACTGGACTTGGCAAAATGTGAGTTTTGAGCAGCTGGGGCGGGGGGGGGGGCGTTGAGGGGAAGCGGGGCGTGAAGGGGAGCGGGGCGTGAGGCTTGTATGTATAGCGGAGTATTATTAATGTTGGGGGGGGTGGGGGGGGGGGGGGGGGGGGGGGGGGGGGGGGGGGGGGGGGGGGGGGTGGGGGGGAGGCGGGGCGTGAAGGGGAGCGGGGCGTGAGGCTTGTATGTATAGCGGAGTATTATTAATGTTATAAGCTACGAGTCATTAGTAATGTTATCAGTAATGTTAGTAGAAATGTCACTAGTGATGTATATAACCATGTTATTATTGTGACGTGATTATTAGTGATGTTGTTATTAGTTATTTAAAGGATGATGCAGTCTTCTTTATTTTACTTACATCTTAAGTTTAATGTGCATACCATCTCTCCTTGTTGTACCCCCTTGTTGTACCTCTTTGTTTTACCGGTACATATTTTTACCCCCCCCCCCCCAATTCCTGCGTACAAATATAATTTTTCACCCCATCTATCCATCCCCATTGCGCTACAGCCAATGTAGGGATTTAGCCTGCCTCACCACTTTCTTCCACTCAGATCTAACAGATGCTTTTCTTTTCCATGCTTCGATTCCCCGTTGTTGTAGATTTTTTCCGACATCATACATCTATCCAAGCCTAGGTCTGCTTTTGAGCTGTTTTCCTCTGGGCTTTTGGTGATGCACCCTCTTCACTCCTTTGTCATTTGGCAATCTCTATAAGTGTCCTGCCCTTTTTTGCTACCTTCGTGGGATCCTGATATAGACTATACAATTCAATGTTGGTTCGTATCTCCATCCATATTCATCCTTTGTTGGTACATATATTTCTGATAACTTTTCTCTCCCATGTGTTTTATAGGTTTTCTGCCGTGTTCTGTCAGGGTCCACGTTTCGCTTGCATGTGTTACAACTGGCCTGATTACAGTTTTATAAATAGTTTTCTTTGTTTCTCTTGTTTCTCTTGTAATGCTTTTACTTTTGATTATTTTCTGACTACTGAAGTATGCCCTGTTTCCGTGCAGATTTTCTTTCTTTTATTTCTGTTAGTACTTCGTTTCTTTCAATATGTATGCTTCATATAAATATCTCTCTAATATTAGGTTAAATAGCATGCAAGACATTGAGTCTCCTTGTCTTAGGCCTCATCTAATCTGAAATTCACTTGAATATTCTCCTTGAACCTTGATTTTTCTTTTGAGTTGTTCAATGTATCAGTATTGTCGGTTTGTTTGGTATGCAAAACTCCCGCAGATTTTCATACATATATTTTCTTTAACATGTAGTCGATGTACTGGGGTATTATATTCATAACATTTATCTAAAAGGCATCTCATGATGAAAATCTGATCAGTCGTTGATCTGTTTTTCTGAATCCACTTTGGAAATCATCTAATATATCTTCAGTGTTCGGTTGTAGTCTTTTGGCAATAAGCCCCGTCAGTATTTTGTATGAGACATTTAATAGGGAGATTCCCCTGTAGTTTGTGCACTGAAGTTTGGAGCCTTTCTTGTGTAGTAGGATTATTAATGATGTTTCCCATTCTGTTGGAATTTTCTTCACTTTTTAGATAAAAAATTTCAGTTATAAGTCTAGTTATCTGAGTGTATAGTTCTCTTCCTGAATATTGAATAAGTTCCGCTGCGATGATGTATTCTCCAGGGTCTTTGTGGTTTTTCATATAATTGATTACTGTTTTAGTTTCTTCTAGAGTTGGGGAGTTCATAAAAAGGTCCTGGTCCTCCCTGGGGTGGTGTGTAAATCTTCATCTTGTCTATTGTCTGCCTTCAGTAAGTCCTCACAATTTTCAGCCCACCTCTCCAGTACTTTATTATTTTCCGTAATTAATTCTCCATCCTGGCCCTTACATATTTGCGGTCAAGCTTGGTATCCATTCTTTTCATCTTTTATCGTCATGCACATTCCTCTGATGTTTACCTCATAAGTCATATTTCTTTTAGTTTAGCTTTTCCCCTTTCCCTAATTTTCTTCCTACACATGTTTGTTGCTTTTATTCTGGCTTCCTTGTATGTTTGTGTTGTCTTTCTGGTTTCCCTTTGTAACATGATCATTCGTGCCTTGTTTCTTTCTTCCGCAGTCTCTCTGCATTCCTTGTCGAACCAGCCTACTCTATTGTTGGCTTGCTGAAATCCCACTACTTTTTCTGCTGATCTTTTAATGGCATTTTGTATCCTATCCCACTGTTCATTTTTGTTGTTTTCCTTGTTTTCTTCCTCCTGCGATGCTTCTAATTGTGCTTCTACTTCATTTTGTTAAACTGTTGTGGTTAGTGGGTCTTTGGTAAGTTTTTGGTAATCGTATCGTTTCTCTCGTTGAGTACGACCATTGTGAATTATGCCTATTATCTTTTTATATTTAACCCTTGCAAGTAGATGGTCCGAGTGTGCATCCGCTCTTCGATAGCTTAACTTACATCTAGTATGTCGTCTGATCCATGCCCCCGATCGATAAGGCTATGGGCAATTTGGTTGTGGGTGATTCCAGCTGGTGAGTTCCAAGTAACTTTGTGTATATTTTTGTGCGGTAACTTGGTGCTGCTAACTGACATCCCTTTTCCTAAAGCAAAGTCTATGAGTCGGATCCCGTTGTCATGGGATTCTCCATGCAGACTTTCCTTGCCAAAAGTTGGAATGAACACTTTTTATTTTCCTATTTTGGCATTCAAATCTCTAATCACTATTTTAATATCATGTAGTGGTGCCTCTTCGTAAATCTTTTCCAGTGTCTCATAAAAGGATTCTGTATCCTGACCTTCCGTATCTTTGGTGGGAGCACGTATATTGATAAATGTTACATTGAACATTTGTCCTCGAACACGCAAAGAACACAATCTTTCATTTTCAGGTTTGAAGCCTATGACTGCACTGACTGTTTCTTTTTTCCACGAAAATTCTGTTCCTAGTGTGTTGTTGTTGTTACCACTATAAAATATGGTGTATTCTTTTGTTTTGAGGATGCTTGAATTTTACCAACGAATTTCTTGCAATGTAGCAATATATATTTTATATTTGACCAGCTGATTTACAAGGTTGGCTAAGGCTCCGGCTCTAAACAGGCTTAGTACATTCCAAGTCGCAATCCAAAAATCATGTCCAAGTCCAGGCATAGGTCGATATAATAATGAAATACAATTTTTCACCCCACCCATTTTAATTTTGTTTACAGCAGTGGTTCTAAACCTGTGGGTCGCGAGCCTTTTGACACATATTTATGATTGTATCAACGAAAATAATTTTATGATTGGGAGTTAGGGGTCACCACCACATGATAAACTGTATTAAAGGGTCGCGGCATTAGCAAGTGTGAGAACCACTGGTTTCTAGACAATTAGGACGAACACGGCCATTGAACGAAGCAACCCTTAAAAGGTGTTGAAGATTTTAAAATGATATCAAGGGTTCTTATATCTAGGGCCTGGCCTAGCAACAATAATCTTTGGTTCAGCCCAACAAAATAATTACGTCACACGCACTGAAACTTAAACAGGCGAACAGTTGACTTAACGTAGCCACTAGCGATATTTATTTGTTAGAAGCACTAAGCAGTAGTCTGACGCTATTTAAAGACTTTTTCTGGGGATACTTGTACAGCCTTGGCTATAATTGGATCACGGACGTCACAGATGTTGTTGGGACGGATGGTGCGTAAATGTGCGTACACAATCTGATGACCCCTCTCCCCACACGGGGCGGGGGGGATTCGCATCTTAACGCAAAAGATCCAAAAATGAACAACCCTCTTTGCCCTCATTTTGTACACAACATGGATGGCTCCTAGTTCATTATTTGGAGTCCTTCGCATCTATATGTGTGTGTATACAATTAAATGAAAACGCGATGGGGCAACAGTTTAAGATCGTCGCATGATGCCCTACGTATCAGGGCAATAGTTTAAGATCATCGCATGATGCCCTACGTATCAGGGCAACAGTTTAAGATCGTCGCATGATGCCCTACGTATCAGGGCAACAGTTTAAGATCGTCGCATGATGCCCTACGTATCAGGGCAACAGTTTAAGATCGTCGCATGATGCCCTACGTATCAGGGCAACAGTTTAAGATCGTCGCATGATGCCCTACGTATCAGGGCAACAGTTTAAGATCGTCGCATGATGCCCTACGTATCAGGGCAACAGTTTAAGATCGTCGCATGATGCCCTACGTATCAGGGCAACAGTTTAAGATCGTCGCATGATGCCCTACGTATCAGGGCAACAGTTTAAGATCGTCGCATGATGCCCTACGTATCAGGGCAACAGTTTAAGATCGTCGCATGATGCCCTACGTATCAGGGCAACAGTTTAAGATCGTCGCNAAAAAAAACAGACGCAAACAACCCCAAAGCCCCCCCCCCCACCCCACCCCCCCCCCCCGGGAAGATCTCATCACAACAGAACTTATTCAATATTGAAGAAGGAAGTACACCCTCAATCATATGTCCTTATTATTAAATATTTGGCAAGCTTCAATGCGCAAACTATACAGGAAGTTACCTTTTAAATGTAACGTACCAGATACTGGCAAAACTAATTGTCAAGATACTGGCGAAACTAATTGGCAAGAGATGCGAACAGTGCACTGAAGATGTACTAGATCTGCTTGAGACAAAACAGATTAACGACAAATCCCATTTTCACCATCAGATGCCTCATTGAGATATGTTACAAACATAATTTTATTGTGCAACGTCTAGATGCGGACTTTCAAAATGGCCCACGACATCCTCAAAAGTAGATATCTTTATGAGACCCGCGCAGGACGTTGGCATAGCCAGCAATCTACAAGACTGATACATATAACATTGAACAACTCAAAAGCCCAAGTCAAGTTTCAGTGACAATATTCTAAGGAATTTCTGTTTAGACGAAGGCCAGGGAAAAAAGAAGACATATCTTTTATATTGTTGAACATAAAATAAATATATATAGGACTACTTTCAAGTATGTTAAGGAAATAGTAGAACATGTTGGGAAAAGCTTTTTTTTTTAAAAAGGGGAAAAGTGGGGGGGGGGGGAGTAAATCAAATGGTTTTTTCGGCTGGAGGCCTTCGTCAGCGGACGGTTTAAAGGGAAAAAATAGAGAACATTTGAAATGTGCCTGTGAGTGACGGTTATAATATGAAGAAATCATATTTATATATATTTTGTTCTTGACATGAAGCTAGAGAGTTATAAGACGCATGCATAGTGACACCAGAGGAAAAAATCAGTGGACACAGACTAGGTCAAGAGAAGGATGGAGACTAGGTCAAGTGAAGGGCGAAGACTAAGTCAACAGAAGCAAAGAGACTAGGCCAAGGGCAGAGATTGGGTGAAGAGAAGGACAGAGACTAGGTCAAAAGAAGTATAGTAACTAGGTCAAGGACAAAGACTAGACCAAGGGAAGGACACATACTAGTCAAGAGAAGGACAGAGACTAGGTCAAGAGAAGGACAGAGACTAGGTCAAGAGAAGGACAGAGACTAGGTCAAGAGAAGGACAGAGACTAGGTCAAGAGAAGGATAGAGCCTAGGTCAAGAGAAGGGCAGATAATAGGTCAAGAGAAGGACAGAGACTAGGTCAAGAGAACAAAAGAGACTAGGTCAAGGACAGAGCGTGGTAAACATTCAAATTAGAAACCTTATTTTGACAAATTAAATCCAATGAAATGCTTAGGGTTCTTCTTAAATGAAAGGAATGACTTACCAACGTATGCAAAAGAAAGAATATAGGTCCAAAACAATGCGTACGTCAGCAGACACAAAATACTCAAAAATAAAACATCAATATAAAAGAACACCGAATTCTATAGTAAACAGAATAAAGACCAGGAGGCTGTTCCAATAGGCTGTTCAGTAGATACAACATCATCCAATAGGCTGTTCAGAAGTAACAACATGATTCAATAGGCTGTTCAGTAGATACAACATCATCCAATAGGCTGTTCAGTAGATACAACATCATCCAATAGGCTGTTCAGTAGATACAACATGATTCAATAGGCTGTTCAGTAGATACAACATCATCCAATAGGCTGTTCAGTAGATACAACATGATTCAATAGGCTGTTCAGTAGATACAACATCATCCAATAGGCTGTTCAGTAGATACAACATCATCCAATAGGCTGTTCAGTAGATACAACATGATTCAATAGGCTGTTCAGTAGATACAACATAATCCAATAGGCTGTTCAGTAGATACAACATAATCCAATAGGCTGTTCAGTAGATACAACATCATCCAATAGGCTGTTCAGTAGATACAACATCATCCAATAGGCTGTTCAGTAGATACAACATCATCCAATACGCTGTTCAGTAGATACAACATCATCCAATAGGCTGTTCAGAAGATACAACATGATTCAATAGGCTGTTCAGTAGATACAACATCATCCAATACGCTGTTCAGTAGATACAACATCATCCAATAGGCTGTTCAGAAGATACAACATGATTCAATAGGCTGTTCAGTAGATACAACATCATCCAATACGCTGTTCAGTAGATACAACATCATCCAATAGGCTGTTCAGTAGATACAACATGATTCAATAGGCTGTTCAGTAGATACAACATCATCCAATAGGCTGTTCAGTAGATACAACATAATCCAATAGGCTGTTCATCAGATACAACATCATCCAATAGGCTGTTCAGTAGATACAACATAATCCAATAGGCTGGCTGTTTTTTTTTCTTTTATTTTGAAACTCGTTCCTTTTTAAAAGTTGAATGCCACATCAGGGTTTTGTTACCAATATTTCCCTGTCTGCCTTTGGTGGCGTTAATGTGAGATGTTCAGTGTTTTCTACAAATGCACCAACCTTTCTTCCATTCCACAGCTGACGTCCTTCTTAGCTTTAACCAGCAACACTTTACTATTCCAACATGTGACATATGTCAAAAATAGACAACGACAAGTTTATCTTTGCTAATTACAATGGCTTTAATCATGAGATAACGATAATCCAACCGATAAACCTTTGGATAAGGCGAACCTCCCACTGGCCCCTATCAATACCTTGTCCCACCACGGTCGAACCGGTGTGAGCTATCCTAGCCACTTGGCAACCCAGGACTCTTAGTAAACAAAACACTTACCTGGTTTTGAAATGCAGTATGACGTCCGCTTGCACAAGACAACTGAACATGGCGATGAGCACGGCGACTGTCGAGTGATGTTACATGACAACAAGACACACGTTTCGAGCTTTTAAAAAAAAAAATGAAATTCGTTTCAGCTTGCACAGAAAAAAAAGTGTTGTAAGTCGTTGTGAATGCTTGCAAGATATTAAATAAAATCCCTCGGCCCGACAATGTGTGGCGCGGTGAAGTCAGCTTTCTTTGTAACAATTGTGTTTGTACACGACCAGGTATGAACTTCCTGGTTGAAGTCGGGTTTCCTAACGTAGGTAAAATTAGACCGCAGAGAACTTGGCACACCGTTAGACGTATCGTGAATGATTTAAACCTGCTGAAAATTCAGAGGCGTAGGCTACACTCTGTCATCCTCCTCAGTCATAGCAAATTTTTTTTTCTTTTTGGCCACATAAGCATCTCTTCACTCGGTCACATAGGCATCTCTTCACTCGGGCCACATGGGCATCTCTTCACTCGGCCACATAGGCATCATATCTCTTCACTCGGCCACATAGGCATCTCTTTACTCGGCCCACATAGGCATCTTTTCACTCGGCCACATAGGCATCTCTTTACTCGGCCCACATAGGCATCTCTTTACTCGGCCACATAGGCATCACTTCACTAGGCCACATAGGCATCTCTTTACTCGGAGACATGGGCATCTCTTTACTCAGCCACATGGGCATCTCTTTACTCAGCCACATGGGCATCTCTTTACTCAGCCACATGGGCATCAGATCTCTTTACTCAGCCACATAGGCATCTCTTCATTCGGCCACATAGGCATCAGATCTCTTTACTCAGCCACATAGGCATCTCTTCACTCGGCCACATAGGCATCAGATATCTTTACTCGGCCACATACACATCTCTTCACTCGGCCACATAGGCATCAGATCTCTTTACTCGGCCACATACACATCTCTTCACTCGGCCACATAGGCATCAGATCTCTTTACTCGGCCACATAGGCATCTCTTCACTCGGCCACATAGGCATCAGATCTCTTTACTCGGCCACATAGGCATCTCTTCACTCGGCCACATAGGCTTCACATCTCTTCACTCGGCCACATACGCATCTGTTCACT